TGCTGTGTGTGTGTGGTGTTTACCCTTGCGGCTCAGTGGTCAGCATCGTTGCTACCAGACGGATGGAGGCCCAGCCCAGCAGCAGCCTGACAGACGTTAGCAGATGACGCACAACACCGCAGAGACATACGCCCTACAGGCAACAACAACAAAAACAACAACATCACACACACACAGGAATTCATCATGGACAGCACTTTCCCACTCAACATGAAACTGATGAGTCTGTAAGGATCCTTCTTCTAGTCTCACCTCGAGTTTCGATGTTGAGTCCCGAACTGGTTTGAGCGTGCAGCTCCGACCAAAAGGTGAGCGAGTGACAGCTCCTCTGTGACGGATCCAGGGGACCCCTACACACACACACACAACACACACACACACACACACACACACACACACACACACACACACACACACACACACACACACACACACACACACACACACACACACACACACACACACACACACACACACACACACACACACACACACACACACACACACACACACACACACACACACACACACACACACACACACACACATAAAGAAAACCTTCAAATCCAAAACCTTTGATACTTTATTTCTCTTGATGTTGTTTCTCTTACCTCGTTCGTTCGGTTGCCGGCAACTTTCTGCTCTTTCAGTTGCTGCATGAAGAAGTACAAGACGTTTTAAAACGGTTTTCTCCCCTCACCAAAGCACTCACAAATGTAGTCTTAACCTACATTACCCACTTTTATAATCATACCAGAAAATATGAATCCACTAGCTGGAATATTAACGAAACACACCCAACTTATTATTCTATTTATGGATAAAAACATTAAGTGCAAATCTATGAATCTTTACCAGATGTCTGAACTCCGCTGCCAGGCTGCCATTCGACTCCTCCATGTTCATCACTTTGGTGTTTGTTCCCAAAATATTGAACTTCCGAAACCTGACGCAACGCCAACAAGTCAATAATTATGAGTCTCAGAGAATATATTCTGATATGCGCGTAAATGGTTTTGAGACTCACCCTTTCTTCTCTGTAACATCTCTGAGAAACAGAAAGAGATCACGTATTATTATTATACCACTTTTTTAAGCAATTTATATAAACTCTTGAACTCAGCTTACTTGTCAAACATCGCCTTGACTTTGAGCTGGTAGTTAAACTCCTGCAGCTTCACCAGGAACCTGAAGCACAAAGGAAGCGTTGGTAGAAGATGGAGAGGAGGAGAGACATCAGGAAAAGAGTTGTACGTTTGTTGTTGATTTTAGATTCTTACCGTAGCTTCACTGTGAACTGGACGCCTGTTTTCAGCACCAAGGGTCTCTGTGGGTGGGTGGGCATGCAGGGCTGCCTCTCTACAACCAGAGAGCTACACACACACACACACACACACACACACACACACACACACACACACCCTACTCGTATAGCTGGGAGAGCTGTAGCTCACCAGTAGAGCCTTTAGAC